TCCAGGATTGGTTTGAATTTCGCACAAAGCGACATGAGGGCTATCTACACTAGCCATCCGTAATTTAGCATTGAAACACTAGAGGGAAGGCAACTAATCATCACCATCCACTGCCAACTCTTGAGCTACTCTTTTACCAACGAATACTGGGGATTATCGTTACATTATAACAGCCCATGATTGAACGGGCGAGCATGTTTGGTGGGAAATTCCAGGATTAATAAGGCTTAAAACTTAAATTCAACAAGCCTAAAATTCGTTTTGTTAATGAAATTAAAATATTAATAATATTTAAATCTTAATTCGATATTTTTTTTTTCACAGGTAAAATGCGTTAATATAATGTCGGTTTCTAGACTTAACTATAAATAAAACGTATATATATATATATTGTTTGTTCGTTTGTAATTAAGTACAAGCTACACAATGGGCCATCTGTGCTCTGCCCATCACGAGTATTGAAACCCGGATTCTAGCGTTGTAAGTTTGCAGACATACCGCTGTACCACTTGGGTGCAAGCGTATATATAAAAATCACGGAATGATTATTCTTTTACACATAGTCCACAAAACTGGATTATTGTGTGCCAAATTAAAAATAATGAAATATATCCGAAACCAAAATGATATAGATATTTTCTTGTTTTAATCAGATTGGAAGAAACATAGTTTGTAGGTTGAATGTAGATGAACTGGTCGAAACACAAACATGAAAATAGCTACTAACACTGTCAATAAAAAATTATCAACATTATTGTTTGTTTGTAATTAAGCACAAAACTAAACAATGCGCTATCTGTGCTCTGCCCACCACGGGCATCGAAACCTGGATTCTAGCGTTATAAGTCCCCAGACATAACAAGAATAGCTTATTTATTTATATGAGAAGTTTTTCTACTAAAAGTATGTTTTTCATTTCTTCTCTTTGTTTGTTAAATTTCGTGCAAAGCAACTCGAGAACTTTGCATTAGCCGTCCTTATTTTTGTAATGATGGAAGGCAACTAGCCAATACCACCCACCACCAACTATTGGACTACTCTTAACAAATTTTTTAATTTGTCTGTCACTGTTGTAACTCATACGAAATTACTGAGCGCGATGTTTTTTTTTTGTTTTTCTTTAGCGGTATCGAGGCGCGAAGCAAGAAACCTCATATCACAAACAAGTATACTAACACTGGGCCGGGTTTGGCCGATAGTAAAAAAAAATATATTAAAATGTTGAAAACAAGTCCAGATGTATTGTATATAAAGGATATGGCGACTGGATTTACTCTATTAATTTTTAACTTTATTTTTTATCTAAATAGTTTAGCGAAATAAGCAGATTCTTTATCTTAAACCCCGAACACCTTACCCACTTTCTATGTTTCTCTTTTTAGCATCTATTGTTTAATGTTCAGAAAATAAAAACGGATGGTTTGTTTATATAATAATGGAAATAATTGATCATATCTTTTTTTTTTCATTTTTGTGGTGAAATATATTTATGGCAATATACAAATCTAAGAAGTGTAGTTAGAAAAGAAATCCACCCTTCAGGGACCAATCCAGAACAACTATACGAGAAGAAGCACTCACGTGACTCATAACTCCCAAATAATTCTCATATGTTCAAGTATTGGTATTTATGACAAAACTACTTAGGCTGTTATCCCCAGTCAACAGTACCAATGCTATATGATTGACTGTCACTCTTATAATGCACTCACAGCTCAAAAGTGTGGGGAATATTTTGTGGTATCACACGGATTCCAAGCCGGTTCGCCATCTCGGAAATCCAAAGTTTACTACAAAGCTAATCTGCAGCTTATATTAAACAAATCATGAAATTTTTTTTAAATATCTCTTAATAATCATTTGATTACGTACGCTGGCGTGTTTTATCAGAAGCCGTATTTAAACACCTTAAACGATGAAAAGAATAAGGATTTCAACTATTATTTAAAAGTTTATCTTCACTTACATGTAATACCATCAGAGCTTTCTTTGAAGTCATAGAAAATGACGAAATTGAGTCTTTAATTTTTTATGTGTGTCTCAGTTGTGCTATCCACTGGAAATTCAAGACATCGTGAAAACAAAATAATGTGTTTTAAAAAAAGCATAAAAAACAATTAGGTTATTAGCATCAACCTTTTGCATTGCCATGAACGTACTTTCCACTTTCATGATTTTTAAATTTTATTATTTGTTCCATTATTAATATTATATTTGTAAATGAAAGAAAAACTTAAAAGTTTTAGAACAATGTACGAATTTGTTGTTGAACAATTGGTTTGACAAGTAATTTCTCAGGTGGGCGTTTCCTCTCTCTATCTGTCCACCCATTCCTCCATTCACCCATCTATCTATCTCTATTAATATGTATTAATTATGATCTTGTTTGTCTCTAGTCCAATGGGACTGCATAAGAGCCCTATAACTCGACAGATAGCATTCCAGACCGGTTACAAATCTCTTTCTAGAGTTTCGAGTAATCCGAACGCTTCATATCTGTGATGTTCATTAACAAAAAGATCTAATTTTCTTCCGTTATTCATCTTTTCTTACTTGTTTACTTAATATGATCAGTACACCTAATGGAAACTTTAATCTAATTAGCTATGGATAAAGTTGGTTCTACGTTATTATAATCATTAGTAATGTTACTTAGATTGTAATCAATGCATGTTATTAAGAATATCTCAAAACGTAATAAAGAATTCACTTAAACTTGGTACAGTAGTCATCGTACTTAATGTTTAACGTTTGTTTACCTTGTTCATCAGCTGTGGATCAGCTTGTCACCGTTCAACTCTGTGCAGTAAAGGTGGGTTTATAAATCTACACCAAGTTGTGTCTCGCACCTAGACATATAAAGCAAGTATTCTCTATCATCGATCTAGTTGTACAGATTAGATCTGATATAGCTTGAAACTGCAGTATTCTGCTGATCGTGGTCTAAGATTCGTTGTACAATATGAGGAAATATTCTTCAGAAGTCAAATGTAGATTATTTTCCAAGAGCATAGTTATCGGACTGGTAAGTCTATAACTCATACTTCATTTACCATATATTCTTAAATGTTTAAACTACTCTTATTAAGAATTAGCAAAACTACAGATACTGAACTTTATGACATACAATAAGACGGTTTCCATAAAAACTAATCAGAAAATCTAAAAAGGCATACCCTAAATTTACAAACACAACATTAGAAAGGCTCATAGGAATCTATAACCTATTTCTCTGCAGAATTTTAATATATAAAAGTTACCAATACTTACTAAACAGCAACCGATTTAACTTGTTTTCTTTTATGTGAAGTAAAGTTAATGATCCGAAAAATAACTACCTTAATTTAATAAGTTAAATATAATGTAACTGAGAATGTCCTTTCGATGGAGATAAAATAGTTTTATAGTATACTTTAAACATTTTTGGAACATGAGTTTACATCTTCAAAGTGAGTAAGTTAAATTGATTATCTTCATAATTCAGATATTTACAGGAGCAAATTCGCAAATCTATTTCATGGTTACTTCATGAGAGACACGCTTCTTAAACTTGATTTTTCTGGAAGTTTCTCCTCACTTTACACTTGTTTCTGATTACATGAATTCTAGTTATTTTATTCTATAATCATGAATTTTAATGACGGGTTGAATACTACGGTAAAAAATCAAATAAATGCTTCAGAATAGAGAATGTAAATTTCAGAGCTGTAAACTGCATGGAATTGACTTGAATTGTGCCTTCTTACCTCATTACGAATCTTCGCAATCACCAACCCAATAGAGAAACAAGGCAATAAGTGTGCGAGTTTTTCCCATTCTTTAAGTTCGAAATCTCTGGACTTTTACAAACATTGTTTTACAACTACAACAAATGCGTGATATTCTTAACCCTTCACTTTCGAACATGGAATATTATAACACATTATTAATAGTTCATTTTCTACAGCTTAGTAACTAGCTGCTATTTGAAACAGAACAAAATATAGCAACAGAACCGTCATTTAACTGTTACATTCTGAACGGCCATATTTATATTTTATGACATAATTATACATTCCATGTTGAAAGAATTAACACAAATGATAATAAAACATCAAGTATATTTCAAAAGACACAGAAATTCGAATGCTTTGGGATAGTTGACTATTCTTCTTCGGGGTAAAAAAAGGAAAATTCTATTATTATAAAGTACCATAATTATACATTGATACTAAATTTAAAGTCGTATTGCTTAATAAGAATACATCGTTGACGTTAATCATTCTCCGAAAATTAAAAAAAAAATCTTATACAACTTAAAATTTTTATGTCGGCAGTCGTTTGCCATATATATATATATATATATATATATTATAATCATGGTTTAACTAACCACTGTTTGATATGGCTCCAAAGATTTTTAAAAAATCACAATGCTTTTGCCCTATGCATATCTGCAGCTTTTACAATATCTTTGATCTGGTCAGAAACGATTCTTATTTAAATAATGCAACATGAAAGTGCTTTGTTTTCATAAAACTGTGCAAACCATTAACTGGTGTACGTTTATCTAATAAAAAACGATAATTATCTTTGATAATTAAGCCATATGTATATCGCTTCTCGTGAATGTACTTATTATAAAGTAAAACTATATATATATATATATACTATTTCGTTTGTCCGGAATGTAAATGTACTATTTTGTGGGACTATGTATCTGGTAACTCATCCATCTTCCCTGCGGATTTACAACACTAGAATCCGGGTTTCGATACCCGTGGTGGGAAGAGCTCAGATAGCCCATTGTGTAGCTTTGTGCTTAATTACAAACAGATACAACCATCTTCCTTCTTAATCACCCATTTTAGCTTCAGTACCTTTGAATTCGAACCATTATCTTTTAATATTTAACTGTTAAGGTCGGTTCTGCCAAAACTCTCGCAGATGTAGATAAAGTAAACATCTTAGAAAGTTATTTCGAAAAATCAAAGTTTAACTTTTTTTCTTCTCTTCTGTAGGTGACTGTCACGTGTTTTACCAGATGACTACCGAAATCGCGCCACCTGTTGATAGAAGACTAACTCAGCCTTGAATAATCTGTTTAATAATAGTTAATATCAAACAATCATTAAAGAGATAAAAACATCAGTGACTGATCATCGCTGAACTTGAGCAACATAACCATCTTTTTGCAGTTCAACAAAGTAGGAACACCGGACTGTAAATTTCAAACTTCATTGGATGACATAGGGTAACTTCCTCAGTACAACATAGTCCAGAAACATTTATTAGACTCATGACTTTTTTAATTATTGATCATTTTCGAGTTCGTGCAAACATAAATATAAACAAACTGTAGTAATATTTCACATAACTTAATTTAATAATTGTGTCCTTGTTATCAATTCCATGGTATTTGGGGTTTTTTAATGCATTTTGTTTGGTCTCATACAGGACCCCACACAACAACCCCAATGACTTATCGATCCATTGAAGTGAAGCCCCTCAACAGACGATTGAGCAGACGGCTCAAGGCTAAGGCCGTTGCGAGTGCCAAAGGAGCTTACAGCCAGAAATTTCTTCAGACTTTTCTTACAACTATCTTCAAGTCCAGAGGATTGTCACCAGCCGCTCAACTTCCCTCGCCTCTGCAGTGCTTAGCTCTGCTGGTAAATATCACTATTTTCCTTAATAACTAACAAGTGTTTCTCTTCTGCATTCTAACTGTAGCTTTATTTTTCTATTCTTAGTATTTTTCTTTAGTCAATATAACTTCGATGTAACTGCTGAACCTTGAAATAATCAATCCACCCAAATGTAAAAAAAGTGATATGACGTGTGAACTTTATGTAATTAATAATTTAAAGTTACTTATTCCTGAGCAGGTGAAAGCTAGTTATAAAAATTGCTTGTAAAACATGAGTGTTTGATAAAGGAAAAAATAATGGCAATTATCGCATGAATGTGTAAAAGTAGAATCTTAACGTTTTTCAGTTGCACCAATAGTAAGTCTCTTCGTTATAGGTGGCAGAAAAATATATTGGTAAGTGATGGTTTCTTCTACAACTGTTCAATATTTTTCATTTCCTTGAGCAGCTGTGATAAAATGTATGAAAGAAATAAAAACCAACCTAGGGAACATATTCGGATCTACGTATAGAAGTTATAATTGTGTAGCAATTATATCTCGAACACATAATGCACATATATACACATGGCTCCACTGAAGAACTGTTATACCATATCAGCGGTAACGTCGAGGTGTTAATATCTCAATCATGCATATCTTACCAGGTTCTTCTTATATCAACGATAGCAGTGATGATGAAGTAGTCCCTCGGAGGGACAGCGGCAGGTTGACAGACTTACAAATCTGAAGTTCGAATCTCCGCGGTGGATACAGCAGATTACCAAGTGTAGCTTTGCTCTAAAACAAACAAATGACGAAGTATTATATAATACCTTGACTATATGTGTATATATATATATATATATATCTTACTAGGTAGATATTATACAATATCAACAATAGCAGTAATGCTAAGATATTACTGTCTCGACAATACATAGTTTACTTGTTAAATCATATCAACAACAGTAGTGATCCAAAGTAGTAGTTAATACCTTGACCATAGGTAAATGTTGTTCTATATATATCAATAAGAACAGTAATGCAAATAGTTCAGCTTCGAACATGTGTATCACTGTTGTTAAACGCTTTTAGTTGCATTAAAAATCCCTGATTGCTTTGTCTTCATTGGTCAAACATTGCAGCACACTAGTAAAGACGTTTTGACAGCTTTTTTGTCACATATGCTTATCGTGAATAGTATTTTCTAAAATATTGTAAAGCTACGTTGGATTGCTATAGATATCTTTTGGTATCAGAACCAATTTACTTATATATCTAGGTCCTATGATACATTCTAGGACAAATTGACTGTATATTTCATACAGTAGATGCTTAAAATAAATCATACATATATATATCAGATTCTTATAATGCATCTGGAGAACAATTGTGTCATAAGGACTTGCATAGGTTTTTAAAGTTTAAAATTATACATCAAGTTATTTTATGTGAGGCTTTTGTTTTTAATTTGGTTTCGATAAATTAAATTGTGGCCCCCCCAGTGGCACAGCGGTATGTCTGTGGACTTACAAC